AATGTTAATACAACTTGATTGGCTTTATGTATAGTAACTCAGCTGATTTAAAATAAAAAGTTATTGCTTTGTCTTAATACATATAAAATACGTAACAAAATTTTACATACGTATAGTACAACGTAGGACCTGCACGGGCCTGATACGTAAAAATTTTTGCCCAACCTGCAAAATAAAATTTGTTTTTTTTAAACAAAAGTTTTACTATGTTTTTAACATAATCGGCCCGCAACTTTTAAAACTTCGGCCCAGCCCATGCAGGCCTCTAAACATACTGGACGTCTGAACAGTACAAAATTAGCACTTTCAGTAATGATGATGTAGAAGTCATATTTGGTTTGTAAAACGGATGTATGTACTGTACGTACGTACGTGCGTAAGTACAATACATACAAGGCTATTAATTAAATATCTTCCAATACGATAATACGACATTTATAAAAAAGAATAAATTTTATGCCTTGTATATTAAATATATCGTAATTATTATTTTTTTTTCTGCACTTAAATAAAGTTATTAGCTTTATCTGGAGATGAATCTCGGCGAGATGCGACTACAGTAGCCGGGAGAAGCTGGGAGGACACATACATGCGCAGTTAGCTCCAATCATAACTTGGATTTAATCAGGGGAGAGGTGCATAATTTTTACTACGTTGATAAGAGGACCATTGGGACTTTTATACATTTTAAATCTTTGTCTTTGTGGAAGACCCACATGAACTCTCATAAGACCAAATTTGTGTTTTAAAAAAAAAAAAAATTTTTTTTTTTTATGACAAATCATATACTAATATAGGCTAGATCTTGCGAAGCAGATCTCGCATCAAGATAAGTTTTCAACCTTGTCTAACTTTATTTTACTGTCTTAAGTAAGTACAGTCTTATCTCTCTATAATCTCTATAATTACACCAATTATACGTTATGCGGTTATTTTTTAAAAGGTTACGCTTATTGTAAAGGTTTTTTTCCCCTATATTTTATAAGATGTGCTTAACGTTAAGACGTTATATATAAGACGTTTATATATAAGACGTTTATATATAATACGTATGTTTATACGTATGGTGTGACTAGAAAGTTAAAATATATATATGCGACAGAAATATCATATATTAAATTACATAATATTTCGGATTGAGAAACAAACTATGACATAATCAATATCGATATGAAATTTTAAACTGTATGTATTAAGTACGTACAACCCTCTTAAAATTAACTAACACGAAACCTAGTCATTAGAGAACTACTTCCTGAAAAAATATAATAGTTGAAGACAAGAGTATTGGTAGAGAATTAGATTAATGTTGCGAATCAGCAGTATCATATTTACACCATGAACTTTATATGATCAAAGATTTGAATAACTTTTACGTACGTAGTAGATTTCCGCTCAAAAAAAAAGTATTATCAGTATGATGTATACAATTTCGGATAGAGGTCCAATCCGTCATCCATTTATCCATATCTGAATTTATCCGGATATCCATTTACTATTGGTATCCGGATAATCCGACAAATATTCGGATAATTATCCGGATATCAATAGTAAAACGGATATCCGAATAAATTCAGATCTGGATATCCGATAGATAAATGGATAAACGGATAATGGATAGGAACTCTAATTTCGGATTTAATGAACTAAAGTTGAATTTATTTAGTACGCTTTTAACATTTCACCCATTTTTTTTTACCGTTACTTATGTCATAATCAGACGCTAATCTAAAAAAAGTTATGGTATCTCGTGATCTCCATCGATCAAGCACATTATGTCAAAAACGTAACTTTTACTATCGGTTTTTTTTATTACCTGAAGAGTACATACCGATACGTTCAAAGATTTCTCTTTTCATTCTCGACATTTAAGCTATAATGACCGATTATCCTGGTTATGTTTACGCTGCCGTAAATATTTTTATCGCCTTATTTTTAATCATAATTTTTAATTTCTAATTTTGTTAATAACACAAGAATTGTTTTATTATCATTTAGACTATCTCGTTGGGAGGAGTTTTTGGTTACATAAAAGCAGGTATTGTACATATTACAGTATTATATAGAGAAAAAAAAAAAAGAAAAAAAAGGTTTCTCTGACTATTCACTTTTAGGGAGTCTACCTTCTTTGTTTTTCGGTTTAACTTTTGGTGTGTTGGCGGTGAGAATTCTACCACTATTCTCTTTTCTTATTCATTATCGCGTCGGATAAAAAAATTCAATTCCTAAATCATGTTTCAGGCATATGGTGCGAGTAGAGTTAGTACTAATCCAAGGGATGTGGTTATAGCATTACGTATGTAATTATAATTTAATATTTTTTATAATTTATAACAAATGTTTCTATCATTTATAACATGATTCTATCATTTATAACATAATTCTATAACTTATTACATATTTAGTTGTATCGTTGGCGTTGCTTATTGTAATGGGCATTCGTTTCTATAAATCTGGAAAATTTATGCCAGCTGGCTTAGTTACTGTTCTTAGGTAAGCTATTTACAACTTATTACAACTTATTAGTTAAAGATAATGAGAATTTTAATACAATAATACTTTTTCATTTATTTTAGTTTAATTTTTACTGTTCGTTATGGATATCGATTGATACCTCAATAATATATCTTACCAATATCTGAATATTGCAATACTGTGGTTTAAAAAAAAAAAAAATTATATAAAATAATGGGATGGGATGCGTGAGATAATATGTTTGTTTATTATTTGTAATAATCTAATATTTATATTGTTATTTGAAATACATTGGCTAAAATACATATGTATTGAATGTGAGTTTTACAAAAAAGTCTTAATTATCCATTCTCAAATGTCAACTTCTTCCCCAGCAATAAAACACTTCACAACCCTAAGATCATCATCTAGAAATACTAAATCTGCATCGGCTCCAACATTCAACGTTCCCTTAATGTTTTGTATTCCTAATAATTCTGCCGGATGTAATGTTGCTGCTTCAACAGCTTCAACAATTGTGCATCCTGTGAATTTTCTAAAGTTTCTAACACAAGCATCAATAGTAATGACTGATCCAGCAAGTCGTCCGTCACCAATAACTTCAACTCGTTCATCATTAACCTTACGAACCGGAATATCACCTAGAGTATAATCTCCTGGAGGCAATCCCATAGCTGCCATAGCATCAGTAACAAGAACTGCTCCAGCAGGATGAGAGTCATAAGCCATTTTAATAGAATTTGGATGCACATGAATACTATCACAGATGATGCCATAATATGGACGTGGGATGCGTGTTGTACCAAGTAGACCGATTATACCAGGATCACGATGATGAAACTACAAATATTGTGACCAATAGTTTTTTATATATGGATTTTTGCATGAAAGTTTCAATTTAGTACAAGCTTTTTTTTTTTTACCTGTTGCATGGCATTAAATAAATGTGTAATAAATCGAGCCTATTCACAAACAACAATAATGAGAAACTGAGGTATAATATGAATAAATATGAATATAATATGACTTACTCCTTTTTCAACAGCTGATTCCGCTTGAGCCACAGTAGCAGAAGAATGACCTAGAAAGCCAGAGCAATATTTAATGAATATATAAGCATTTGGAATTTGAATTTGGTGATGGTCATAAAATTGAGAAAGCATACCTAAGCTGACTGTAACACCCGCACGAACCAGATCTTCCACGCTATCTAAAACACCTTCTACTTCCGGTGCGACAGTTGCGATCTTGACTATTTGATCTTTTCCTTCAGAATTCAATTCATAAACCTTTGCAAAATCTGAAAAACCACTAGAAGCAACACGAAGATGAGATTCTTCATGGGCGCCACGTTTACTTGGCACAATAAATGGACCTTCGACGTGGGCGCCTTTGCAATAATTGAAATAACTGCTCCATGAAATAAACGATGAATAGTACGAGGAATCTCTTTTTTTTTAATAATTACCTAAAATTTCAGCCCCGTTAATTTTATTTCCTTTACGAGGCTTCAAAAGTGGGAGAACCTATGTTTATTTTATTAAAATATTAAAAATATTCTTAATATATTTTATTAAATTATTTCACATAAAATCATAAAATTATATAAATGATAAAATAAATTACCTTCTGATATACTTCTATCCCTGAGCTAATAATTGTCGGAACAAAACTAGTACAACCGTATTTCATCAATCCTCTTGCAACATTGTCTATTCCTTTCCTCATTTTTTCTTCATTTTGACATTGAGAAAAGTCCACACCGAAAGCACCATTGATCTGTACATCAATAAATCCTGGAGCTACTAATAGTCCTTTAGCATCAATCACAACATCTGGTAAATCGCCAAATGTAAAAAAGTATGTCTGCGGATCAATAATTTTTCCGTTACATAAATAAAGTACGTCGTCGTTGATTATTTTATGGTCACGGATCAAACGTGCATTTACGATTTTTATAAGGCGATCCTTCTTATTTCTTTGAAGATTAGAAGCAGCTAGGTTAACTTGAGAAGGCATCTTAATAATTATCTATTTTTTTTTTTTTTGTTTATTTTGTTTTTTTTTTAAGTTTTAAAAGATTTTCTACGCCAGATCGGTGCTGAGCCGCGTGCTTATATATATACGTGTTTAGTATAAATTACGTAATAATTTTTATAAACTAATTATAATCACGTGTTTTCTTATAATTACGTCAATTCTGTACTACATATAAGCTGCAGTTACACGCGACATAATTTATATGGAAAAGCCTCAAACCAGTATTTTTATTCTATTACATTTTTTTTTCTTAAAAAGTTCGAGATTATTCTTTATTATCATTATAAACATGAATGATTCTGATTCAAATGATGATAACAGCAAGAATAATTCAAATGAATCAAGAGTGCATAAACTTACTAGTAAAAGACGTGCTAGTTCAGTTGATTCATTTACGCCTCAAGCTGCAAGGCCTATATCTCCTGTAAAAACACTTGATACAAAAATAATTCAAGATCTTTTAGTTTCTTCTGCTTTAAATGTTGCAGACTCTGCTAAAATGCCTTCAGATTCTACTCATCATCCTCCTTTAAATATAAAATTACTTGGTGATAATTTTAGAAAATTTGTTCAAAAATGTGGATTTATTTTCGTTATTCAAGATTTTGCTGAAGATATATTTATGTGGAAAAATCCATCGGATACATTATTGGCTATGGTTATTTACGTTTATATATGTAAATTTTTATAAATATTAATTTTTACAAAATGAATTAATCATTAATAATAATAATAATAATAATAATAATAACAAATTTTATTTTTTCATTTATTATTAGGTTTATATCCACAATTGTTAATTCTTGTTCCATTAATATCTTTCCTTGCAATTCTTATTTACAATTTTCCCAAAGATCCACAAACCAAGAAAAAAACTCGTATATTTAAACAATTTAGTCGTTTAAATTATTATCTTCCAGCAGAAAATTCAGTTGATTATTTGAAAAATATGCAAAATATTCAAAATTTAATGGGATTGATTTCAGATGGTTACGATGTAGCGATTGATCTTCTTAAGCATTTTGATTGGAGTAATGAACGTGAAACATTATTGATAACACAAGTTGCAATAGTGATTTTGGCATTTACTAGTTTGATAGTATGGATCGTACCTTGGAAATATGTGTTTATTACTAGTGGATTAGGAATTTTTATTGCTAATACACAATTTGTGAAATCATTAATTAAGGAAATGAGTCCTTTTATCATGCAAAACGCTAAAACTTTTACAAAGAAATGGGAAAATTATTTTAATTCAGATGATTCAGAAAATAGTGGAAATGATGGGGAAACTGATTCTTCAATTGAAAATAATTGGATCAGTCTAAGTCAGGATGAAATTGATACTGGTGTTGGAAGTTCTTCAAAAACTTGAACTTTTTTTTTCTTTCTTTCTTTTGCTTGATAATTTCATGTTATATAACCAAATTTAATCATTTAATTCATGCTAAACGAATCTAATTAAATGTAATTATTTCATTATAATATATTTTTCTAAATAAATCAATTCTTTGCAGACTAATCAACATTACTAAAAATGAATAAATTCTTGAATTAATCTATTACTCATTCTCTTGTGAAAATAATAAATTCTCTATGATCTAATTCAAATGTCTAAAATATAGTATATCGAATGAATAAGTTCTACTATTTATTATCTTCTTGTGGGGTTTTCCTTGCACTTTTCGAAGAAACTTTAGCTTTAGTATGTGCACTAATTTTAAAATCATTTTTATTTTTAATAAAAATAACGTATAAAATTAATTCTTACATTAAAATCCACATCTTAATCGCGATCTAACTTGATCGAGCTTTGCCTTTCATGTTTATTTGAATTCGCCTGCGAAGCTGATCTCTAGGCTTCCCTACTTTCTTTCTATCTTCGACAAGGTATTTCCAATCTTTTAATCAAGAGGTTAGTTTTCTTTGAGTCCAACCAACTACCTCATCGTGTGTCCCTGATTTTGTTTTTTTTTAGCCGAACTTTTTATCCTATTCAATAATCATCCTTTACCTTGTGGAACTTTCAGTAACTCAGGAGCTGTAATTATCGACGATTCTCTATAAACAGTCTCAATAACTGATTTTGATTTTGTGTTCTTATTACATTGGATAACAACGGATCAATTGACGTAAAACTATCCAACTCTATGTCTACAAACTTACAAACTAAGGGTCGTATGTAAATTATAAAAAAAAAAATTTTTTTTTAATAATTTAAAGAATAAAATTATTTTTAACTGCCTTTAATATTTATTTTTTGAGATCTTTTGATTCTTTATACAAAGTTAATACTGATAGCAGTTAAAAATTAATTTGAAAATTATCTTGATTAAAATCGAACAACTTTTTACTATACTTATAAAAATAAAAAGGTTTTATTAAATAAATATAAAGATAATTTTTTCTAGTTTTAATTTGAAATTATATAGTATATATTATATATTTTAAAATTTTTATTTTTACATGTTTAACTTCAAGTATTTTAGAATTTATAAAATTACTAGTAAAATTCAAAAAAAAAAAACTTTAATTAAAAGCTTAAAAAAAAATTATATTTTTTTGTTTAAAATAATTATATCAAATTAAATTAATTTTTGTATAATAATAATTTAATTTAATACTTAGAACATTAATATTTATTATTTATTTACTATAAAGCTACGTTAGCCAATCAAATTACAGTATTGCTATAGTTTGGTTTTTACTCTTTAAAATACAGTATATATATATTATTTAATAAATATTAGCACTTTTACACTGATCAAAATTATTCAATAAAATTTCGTTACTTAGCATACTTGATTACATCAGGCTCGTGCATGATGGAGTATGGAAGGAAAAGTTAGCTAAAGTCACGAGTAGGATCTAAACACTAAGAAATTTAATCTCTATAACGATAATGTTAATTATAATAATAACCTATTCTTTTTTTAGAAATAATTCTTGGAATAATCCGGCATTTGTCCCAGGACATGTTGAGTCGCTGAACAAGGGGACATATGTGACTAACATGATAGTATCCGCAATTCAAGCTGCATTAAAGAATCTTCCTTACGGGAAGACTTGCTATATTAACACGTAAATTAAAAGATATCGAACGAATA